CTTTGCAGAGCATTCAGTCAGCAATATAGAAAATTTTTGGTTCTGAGCAGTTGCCCCCTTTGAAAAGTAATGCGAAAGCCCCGCCATTGTAAAATGGAAGGAAAGCCCAAATGTAAGTGATTGTCATCACTTATTGTTTGAAGTCAATAATGACAGTGTGTTCTGGATCACCACGATTGCAAGGGCTGCGTTTTCAGAAGTTGCAGTTTCTACCCTAACGAGCGAACATTGCACCTTTGCGCTTGCGGTGTGCGACATATTCTTGAATCCTGGATCCAAGAGTATTGTATGCAATGAGAAAAATATGAAATGTCATATTGAAAAGTATCTGGTATATATTTACTTTTTTTTTTATTTCTTTTATTATATAATATTTTAAACAATATTAATGTTTTAATAAATATAGATCGATTTTAATAATGGTGGTGTGTTGTATAATTTATCTGAAATAATTATGAAAGAATCAACGGTTCAGCAACCCTCTGATTCTCAACCAAATACCCCAAACATGAATCTAGGGAATCAGCGACTTCTTTGCAAGGTAGTGGTTCGATGGCTCTTCTTTCGCAAAAAGACATGAATGATTTGTTTGGGCTAAATTATGATGATTAGTTTAGTTTTAATTAGTCAAATTAGTCATATAGTTGTATGTAATTTAGCGATATGTATTTTTTACATTTCAATTAATAAAATTAGATTGCATTTGTCTGCATTTGTTTGTGTTATAAAAAGTAATATTTGATATTTACTAAATAAGAGTAATAAGTATACAGTATAATAGTAATGATTTTGATACAATAGGATAAATCGATTATAACTGATTATACGTTATTAATCGATACTATTCAAAATTTTTAATCGATATATATCGATTTATATTGATTACTATCTAAATTGATAGTTCTCAATAGTGGAGATTTAAAATGATTACTATCAAATAACTGATTAAAATCGATAGTAATCCTCTTGCAAATTTTGGTGATGGCATATCTTAGATCTTGGTCTCTTTAAGTATATGCTAGACTATACTAAAGAACTTTTAAACAACCAGTATAAAAGACAAGTGATGCAAATCTTTGAGCAGCGATTAATGCTGATTCCTAGGTATAAGGGCTTCAAAATATTAAAAAATATATCCAAAATAACACACATGACAGCAGAAAAATTAAGAAATTTAATGAAAGTGATAATTTTCACACTTGACAACCTATATAATGATTATAGGAAGCCAGGAATTAGTAATGAACAGTTATGCCATGTATATTACAAATTTCTTCAGATGTATATTACATCACAAAAAGAATCGTTTACTAATGATTCTTTAAATCAATTACAGGTATAAAACAAATAAAATTTTTGCTAAAAAAATCACCCTTCAGAACTATGTAATTTAGTCCTGAAAGGTAATTTGTTAGCAAAAATCTCAAAACATAGCTTTTTACAAATGTTCAATTATTAACAATTAATTTATAGGAATTAATTGTGGATTGGGCCCAAGAATTTATTAAAATATTTTCTCGATATTCACCAAGTGGGCTACAATTGCCAAAGCTTTATTCTTGGTACTATCACGTAGTATCTGCAATTAGAAAATATGGGTCAATAAATAGTATGACCACTGAAACTTATAAAACACTTTATAAGGACTATGTAAAAATACTTTATCGAATGTCGAACAAGAAAGACTATATAAAACAAATATTGAATGCAGTACATTTTAAATATAGTAAATCAGTGTTGGCATTAAACATATGTCCAATGCCAATATTGCTTAGTAGATAATCCCTAAGTATCACTAATAATCGATTATTAATAGGTTAAACAGAAAAAACTTACCAAAAAAGAAGTCTCTAAAAAATATTGCTGAACGAAAGAGTTTGGAAAACTTTTATGAGCTTTAACATTAAGATCAGAAGAACTGGAAGATTTCCTTTAGAAAAATAAAAATAATTTGGACCCATTACAAGCCGAAGGCTTTCAAAACCTACTAACTGGCCTTGATGATTTTTTTGAAGTGGAGTCAACTGTGTCCCTTGACGAAGATAATCATATAGAAATATTTTCTTCTACATCTTTAGAAAGTACTGATTTAATTTATACTACATCAAATTTTCATGGAAAACCAATGTTTTCTAACATTGCAGTAAGTGCACCTGATGATCAAGAAAATGAATAAATTGGTATAGCTTAGTAAGTATCAGTTTTATTTTATTTAACACATATACTAATGCTTTTTAACAATAAATAATGATAATAATAATAATAACTATAAGCGACAAAGTTAGGAAATATTCTCAAACTTCATAAATAATATATACTAATATATATATAAAATATCATTTATAAGATTCTGTTAATACTTAAGTTTTACCACATGATAGACAAAGATCTGTTAGAACTCGCTCTTGTTCATTGGTATGATGAAGTTGGTGAATTATAGGGATGTTCTAAATTAAAATTAATTAAACAATACAGTTGTATACCTATAGATAGTATATATAAAACCATACATATAGTTGCAAGATTTGAAAAAACAAATAAATATTTAAAAAAAGTTTTATGTTCTAATATTTAAAGCGTATATGTATCTAATATTTAAAGTGTATATCCAATATTGCTAATTATCGATATATTGTAATTTTGATTAGTTCGATGATAATCAATAATTTGATCTACATCGATTACTTATCTGTTTGTTATTAATCGATTTTGATATATATCAAATTAAATCGATGTGGAATATTTAATTTTAATCGATATAAAATGATTATGCATTATATATCAATATATAACTACTTAAAATATTTCGTGATGTATTTGTTATACATTATTAATTACCTCCATATTCCTTCTTATTTGTAGAATTTTATCCATATCTCTTTGTCTTTCTTCTATTTGTCTTCTAGCTCATTCCAAAATCAATCTATTATTTCGATTTTGTCTTATTATTTGTAATATATGATCTCTTTTTACATAACAATTAATAAAAGGATGAACATGACATATAATACAATTTTGTACAACATCTAGCATTCTGTACTATCTATTCGCACAAATTTCATGTGAATAATGAGATGCGTGCAGATTGTCACATAATTGTATAACATTTCTACCTTGATGTAATAATATACAACAAATAGAACATTCTAGAAAATCTTGTTGATCGAATTTTTCTTCTTCTTCAATAACTATTTGTTGTTCTGGTAGTTTGTTTACTTGAATTTCTCTATATCTTTGTAAAGCTACTGTATCAGGTCTCAATATATTTTCTAGTACTACATTTCTTCATAATTCATCAGGCTGTAAGGGTACATGACATATAGGACAACTAATTGTATGTCGACTTCATTGATCGATACAACAAAAATGAAATATAGGATTATTTTGACATAGTATCACTACTCTATTTAAATTTTCAATATCAAATGCTGTTAAACTTATAGAACATATTTCTTCTTGTACATTTATTTCTAACACTCCTTGAACTATTTGTGGTTCTACTACAGGTATAGATATTGGTATTTGATGATGTATTGATATTTTTGGTTGAATTATAATTTGTTTAGCTTGATCACCAATTATCTGATCATAATCTTCTCTTATTACTTTTGGTCTTTGCTTTATCAGTAATTGTTTTATTAGCATTTGTTTTATTTGTGGTATATTTTGTTGATTTTGTTTAAGTTCTCCTCCTTTAGATCTCCCAGGTACTGTGCTTGTATTTGTTTTGGTCTTCTTTGAATAACTAGTATGTAAGTTTTTGGTCTTAATCTGAAATATCCACTTCGATCCATATTTATACATAAAATTAACTCTCGAATAATTATCAGATGAATACATGGTCTTGCACAACTTGATGTTGCATGATTACCACCACAACATTAACAAATATATCTCTGTTTAACATCACTCAGAAGATATAAAATGATTAATAAAAATATCAAGTAAATTTTTATTTTTGTTTTCATTATCAAATTAATTAACAAAATTTAATTTATTTATATTTATATTATTAATTCAATTATCAATTAATTTAATTATAAAATATCAACATATTTTAATACTCAATTAAAATAAAATGAATCAATTAGAGAGACTGCAAACTTTATCATTTGAATATAATATCGAATATTTTGGTGCAATTTCTGAAGAAAATTTTGAAAATGAATTATTTTTCTATCTAAAAAAATATAAATTACATCTAAAAAAATTCACATTTTATCAATTTAGTGGTAAAAAATTATTACACAATTCCACGCATAAACAAAATGAAAAACTATCTCTTCGATTTGGTAAAATACAAATAATATATGAGATAATCTTAAAATCACAGAAAACAAAACTATTGAAAATATAGATTTTTATAGATTTGGGAAATTTCATATTATTGACGATGATGGTATCGATATCTCGTGTAAATGGAATGGATACCCATTATACATTCAAGCAAAATTTTGAAATTTATGCACGAATTGTAAAAATAAAAACAATAAATCTTGTTCATATAATTACTATTATGACAGAATGAAAGAAGATATTTTAAAATTTGATAAGAAACTATCATAATATAAAGTACTTGTTTTTGGAATGTTTATCATTAATGAATTTGTTGATCTTCCTTATAAAAAAAATCAAACAACTAAATTTAAAAAACCAAATACAAATATTACAATATTCAAATGCTTTAATTGAAGATATTAATAAATTAGGAAATATTTTTTTAAAAAAAGATCATAGATTTAACAATATAAAAATTGAAAAAGATTTTTTCGAATAATTAAAAATAAGTTCAATTTATTGGTATTTTGAAAGTTATCTAAACAAAATTGACAATCCTGATAAATTTTTTTATGATAATTTAAAAAATTTTTTATGATATTTTAGAGAAGCATATCCTTTCTTAAATCAAGAAAATAATATAAAGAATATAGATAATAATGTATTGAATAAATATTTTAATAATTTAAACATTGTATAAATATATACAATATCAAATAATATTAATAAATTTGTTTTTTATTAATATTTTCAATATTAAGTAAATCTGCAAGATGTCTTGAAACTTTTCTCAATTCTTCTAAATCATTGTCATCATTATCTGTTCTTTGCATTTGAAGATTTTTGAATATTTCATCCAAAGCTAATTTTTGTTTTTGAGTTAAACCAGATCCAGAATTACCAGTTGGATTATTAGTACTTGTCCCATTTGTTAGATTGGATCTTGTACTATTTCCTGAACCTTCTGTATTTCCAGTACCTGTATTTGGTTCAGTCACCTCCAGAACCTATATTTGATCTTGGATTATTTGGATTACTAGTATTACCCAAACTACTACTAGTTGAATTATCTCCTGATCCAGAATTTCTACCACTACCACCACCAGCCTCATTATAAATTAATAGCATATTTTGACTACCAAAACCATTAACATTTTCTAATAATAAAAAGAAACTTCTCTCTTTAAAACTAACCAATTTTTGTTCATGTATATTATAAATTAATTGAATAATATGATCTAATTGTAGTAACATATACCAATTTGAATCAACCTTTTCAATTGCGAATTTTTTCTAAGCAGGATTTAACCTTTGTAATTCCTTTATAGCATTATACCATTCATTCACAACATTTTCATTAACAAATATATCTAAATATCTTGTATTTTGAATATTTTTATGTGAAATAAAATAAATATAAAATAGTATTTTATTTTTATTAATAAATTTCAAATTAATCTTCTTTGGACAATTTTATATAACTATTATTAGTACTAGTATTACTACATTCACCACCAGATTCATCAAATCTGGCACGTTTTATATTTTCACTCTCTCTTTTATTTTCCTCATAACTTATTCTACATTTCCTATTACTACCATTTTCATAATTTAATGTTTTATCATATTCAAAATCCCATCCCCATCCTTAGCTATATAACTAATAACTATACTTCCACTATAATGCAAAGATTTATTTGTTAAATTTCTATCCTCATCCTTTTTTTATAAATCGAATTTCCAATATTAATAATCAAACAATTTTGATATAATTCTTTTTAAAAAATTTCATCTTCAATCTAATATGAATTCCTGATTCATTTAACAAAACTACACAAGGTTTAGATCTTTTATTTTTAATGGTTTTCAAATGCACTGTTCGTAAATTAAATTCTTTCTGACAAAATAACATTTCTCGATACGTATCTATTATTGATCTTTTTTGATCACCATTATGTTTAAAAAATCAATATCATCAAGTATCACATATTTCGCATTATTATTTCATTGTTTTGATTCTCTTAACTTACAAAAATATATATGAGGCAATTTCAAAAATCTGAATAAAGCAGTTTTTCCGGAACAAGTATTGCTAATTAACATTATACTTTTATAACATTTTTTTTTTGTAAACAAATTTTCTTTAATCCATTCAAATATTATTTTTTGAACCCAAAAATCATTTAAATCATATGATAAATTATAATATAATTCTTTTTCAATCTCTTCTTTATCCTCCTTCTCTTTTCTAATTAGATGAAGTTTATGTAATTGCATAATATGTTTTGCCATTTTTAGATCTCATTTAAAAATATTAATAAATTCATAATTTGTTGTTGGATCGAGTATAATATTTATAGCTTTTTCAAAACTCCCTTGTTCTTTTTCATCAATTTTTACTTTTTCATTATCTATTCTTTCTTTGAAATTTTTTTCTCCAAAAATAAATGGATCTTTTTGCTCTGAAGTTAATTCATTTCCTAAACTATCACAAACAATTAATAATTCACGAAATTCTTAACAAGAATCATCATATTTATCACAACAAATATCTAAATTAATATAATCACATCGACATTCTCTATGTATTGAACATCTCTTATATTTTTTTATTGAATAATTTCACATATCAATAGCACTTTTATCACCTTCATAAAAATTATTTATTATATTCATACTCATATTTCTAAAAATCTCTTTAATTTATTTAAAATTCATCTATGAAAATAATTGAACATAACATTGTTTATGGAATTGTCTAGTTTCTCCTCTTTCTTATTGTCCAGAAAAATATTTAACATTTTCATTAATATTTTCAAATTGTTCTTGTGTTGTAATCATCATCTTTTACATTTGATTCTATCTTCAATACAATATGAACGTATCAAATCATTACACTGATATCGTTTACAACATTTTTGACATGAATTTCTACAATGAACATGATTTTTTTAACATTTTTTACATAGTGATCTATCTTTTAACTGCAGATTCTCTACATCTGAATTTTTCTAAACAATTTATACAAAGAGTAATAGTAACTAAAGCATGTTTAATCTTGTATTGTTTTTTGTAAACATTTTTATATTATTTAACCTATTTAATAAATTAATTTATTTATAAAATTAATATTATTAATTAATTTATAAAATAAAATATAAATGTATAATAAAATTAATCTTCAAAATGAAAAAAATAACAAAATCAATATCATTATTAATATTTATTTTTTTATTTTTATAAAATATGTAAAACCAAATTATATTGATAATCAAAACAATTTTGAGAATGAATTAATTGATGAATTATTCCTTCGTAAGAATTTAGATCGAAGTGGTTATTTTGGTCCAAAACTACTCTTTTACTCTAATATTATACAAAACATACAACAAAAAGAACCACCAATAAGACAAACACCAAGACAAATACAAAGACAACCTGAAATAATAAGAGAAAATTAAGAAGAAAATCTACAAAATCAACAACAAAATATTCAATACGAATGTATTTTATGTAACTATAATTTTAATCTTGATAATTTAATTGGTGTATATTCAATATATCAATATAATCATATATTTCATGCAGTATGTTTAAATAATTACTTAAGAAATAATAATAATAATGTGGATGCATTAAATAATATTTGTTCAATGGGAAATAAAAGACATAGAATACATAATATGAATCTTTGAAGAGAAGCTAACAGAGGAGATTTTAGACCCAGAAGAAGATAATATATTATATTGATAATAAATAATAAATTTCATACCTAAAATTTCAAAACCACAGTTACTCACAGTTTTTCTAAATCCTGGATTTTTTTTATACAAAACTTTAGATTAGATCAATTTAAAAACGTAATTAAAAAAGTGAAGCCGAAAACCAGAAAGTGGAAAACTGTAGAAAAAATCATATTTTTTCCTTTTATATTAGTAAAACTGCAATTCTGATTGTATTATATAACCCTAGGAATGGAAAATAAGCTTAAAGAAATTTAAAATATATACATAGAATTCACTTTTTTTCTTTTTTTTTCTTGGATATTATGTTTATCTGTGTATACTGTATCTACTAAGTAGTATTAGTATATGTTCTCAAGTACTATCGTAATAATACTATACTTCCAGGAAATAGCTGGTGCTATTTTCATGGAAGGTATTATGATAGTACTTGAGAGCATAAGAAAGCGTAGCTTTCTTATGAGAATCAGGATTGGATGGCCTCAGGCCATCCAATCTCGAATATACAATAAAAATTATTAATTAAAATAAAATATAAATATGAGCAATTTGAAAGTTGGTTAAATGAAATTAAAAAATGTTACAAGAAAATATCAAAAAAATTTTTGCTAAAAACCCTGAAATCTTGTCAAAAGAACTTGGAATAAATCTAGATAAAGACAATGCTGATAAATATCATGTTGATGCTGCAATTCATTATGTGGAATCCTATTATCTAAAGACAATAAAGTGAAAGTAAAAAATAAAAATGAAAAGGATATTCTCAAATATCTTTACATCATAGCTGATCAAAGAAATTCAGATGCTTATTATCACTTGGGTGTTATTAAGATAGTAATCTTGATGTAAGCAGGAAAAGAAAATAGGAAAAGGATATTTGAAAGCCAGTATTAATTTGAGTAATAAAAAAGCAAAAAAATAGAGCAATAAAAATTACTTTAAAGGAAGATGAAGGATTTTATATAACTAAATAGATTTATTTCTTACAAATAAATTACATTTAATTTAAATTTATATAAAATGAATAATTCAAATATCAAAACAGGATTTTCAAATTTAAATTAATTTTCAATTGTTTCATGACTAATAACAGTAATTTTAGGTTTAACTACATTGTATATTATAAATAAATCTTCTTTAATAAATTGATTTGAAATTCAATTTACTCGAGATCTATTTTTATAAATATATGACCATTTTTGCATTATTTCAAATCTTTTATCAAATTCAGCACGACATAAATGCATATTAGAAAGTTGTATGTTAGAGTTTAATATATGAAGATCTGATCCTAAAATAAAAAATGTTTTCCAGTAATAAATTCGATCTTGAGAAAAAAAAAAGTGCATCTAACTTTCCTAATTCATCACTACTTTTAAATATTATTCTTGAACCTAATTCATTCATTTCTGGAGCTAGATATTTATTTAACGAATTCTTAATATAAAAAAAATTAGCTGCTATATTTATCCATAATGTTGATTCTGCTACTAATTCACCTTTGATATTTCTTATGAAAAGATTTATTTTCCCATAACTAAGAATTATTTCTCCATCTTTATCTTCTAATAGTGATATGAGAAATTTATACTAATAAATATCTTTATATTTATCAAAAGAATATGTAGCAGTTTTCCTGTTTAATGATAATACATCATTAGTAATTTTAAAATAATTATATCTTCTATTTGAATCATCTTTATCAAAATTTAAAAAAAGAAAAACTTTTTGTTTATTATATATTCCATTTGGAAATATCATAGTTATATTCTATTATTAATATATGGTGAATAATTAATATGACCATAAAAACTTGATCCTTGTAAAAATCTGAGTACATAAAATTTTTAAATGCTACAAATTTCAACTCTGATAACGAACTACTTCCAGACTCTGACCTAGACAATAATTCACTACACAGCCTTGATGATCC